CAATTTACATGGAAACGGAAAAATATTAAAACCAAAGCTAGTAGAAATGACTTTTTCTTACTGCATTAAGAGGTACTTCCAAAAATTATAGCAACAGATATTCGACCAGTATTAATAAAATACACAGATCATCAAAGGTAATAATTAAAACTCTAAACAAATATGATAACAGGGAAAATAATAATAACATGACAACGCACATGATATGGGATTTATGTAAAGTAGATACAGTTTGTGGAAAAGAATATAGCTTGACAAAAAAAATTATAAAAGAATTATAAAATAAACTGAAATTATTAACAGAAAATAATGCAGAGAAAGAAGAAATAAAATCAGTTGAAGAGCAGATAGAATCACAATATAGGAAATCAAATCAGATCGAGAGCAAAATGGATCGATCAAGGGGAAAAAACATCAAATACTTTTGATCATTTGAAAAGGGGAGATAACTTCAAAAGACCATAATCAAACTGTACAGTGAGGAAGGCGAGACAATATCAAATCAAGATGACATATTGAAACTTCAAAAACAGTTTTATAATACTATATACACGACAAATATTCCAACTAAACAAGAAATAAATCAATACTTAGACTCCATCAATTTTGAATCAATATTAACTGAAGAAGAAAGCTATAAGTGTAAAGGGTTATTGAAAGAAAAAGAATGTTATAAAGCTGTAAATAAGATGAAATTGAATAAATCACCAGGATCAGATGGGCTGACCGTAGAATTTTATCAAACTATTTGGCCACATTTAAAAACTTTATTGGTAGAATGTCTAAATGAAGGTTAAATACATAGTAAAGTATCTGAATCACAAAGAGTAGGAATCTTATCACTAATGTTCAAGAAAAATGATCCTTATGACCTAAATAATTGGAGACCATTAACTTTACTTAATGTAGATTATAAAATATTAGCACATTGTTTAGCAGAAAGAATAAAACCGATCTTACCTAAATTAATTAATACCGACCAAAATAGATTGATAAGAGGACGAAATATTGGTCATACGACTTATTCAAGATATTGATTATGCTGAAAAATTTGAAATTACAGGGGCAATTTTATTTTTAGATTTTGCAAAAGCATTTGATTCAATAGGATTGGAATTTATGTTTCCTAAACTTAGACATTTTCGATTTTAACTATCACAGCTAGCTGATGACACAACTCTATTCTTAAAAGCTAAATTAGATATTTCCAATGCAATAAACTTGATTGAAGTATTTGGCAGTCTTTCAGGATTGATATCAAATAGAGGCAAATCACAAGGTATCAGACTTGGAAATAATGAAATATGTATAGATGATTACTATGAAAACATTGATTAGACTTTGGAAGAAATAAAAGTATTAGGAATATACTTTGGTTTAGATACAGCAAAAACCGAACAAAAGAAGTGGGGAAGCAAAATGGAAAAAACAGTCAATACATGAAAAAAAAAAAAAAAACTGACAATGCTTGGTAGAATTCAGATTGTCAAATAATTTCTTATACCTCAGTTAACTTATGCACTATCAGTACTAAATGTTCCAAAAAAGATAATAAAGAAATCAGAAAGTATTGTTTATAATTATATATGGAAGGGGGAAAAGAAGAAAATTAAAAGAAAGACCCTCTGTAGGACATACTGTGAAGGGGATTAAATACTCCTGATTTAGAAGCACACGTTTGAACTATTCTGGCTGGATGGGTGAAAAATGATAAAATCTGAGGCTGATAGTCTATGGAAAATTATACCACAACACTATTTGAATCACATTGGTAACAATTTGTTAATATTTTCAATGAATGTAAACAGTACTAACAATGTAGAGGGTTTCACAAATGTACCACTGTTCTATCAGAAAACCATTAAAGCATGGCTAGCTATAGGTGGAGGACAAAGGCGCTAATCTGGGGGAATCAATACATAAAATATAAAAATAAAGTTTTGATATTTAAAAACTGGATAAAACGTGACGTCAAAACAATAAAAGATATATTAGTTCACCAAGGGAAAATAAGCGAGAATGTTGTTTAAAATATACTTGGGCATAAACACAATTGGATATCACAATTAGCTATTATCAAGAAATCCATACCAAGGCAATGGCAAGAAAAACTTCATCATTCAGACATATCAAAATATAATATAAGAAAAAAATCATAAAATACCAGCAATTACCTTATTCAATACATCAGAAAAGGTATACATAAATAAACTAACAAACAGTACAATATACACAAATCTTATTACTAAAAACTCGATTAAACCAAACGCATATATTGCTTGGAAAAATACATTTGTATATTTAAGTAAATCTGAGTTAGAATACAAAATAGAAAAAAAAAATAACCTTTTTATTTAAAAATATAGAGGACAACAGAATAAAAATGTTCCGATGGAAATTGATCCACTGGATTCTAACCAACAATTATATAATGTTCAAATGGAAGATAAAAGACAATCCACTTTGTAACACATGTTGTGTAGTGGAAGATTATGATAATTTTTTCACAAAATGCAAGTACCTTGAAATATTTTTAGAATATTTTGACAATTTGTTCAAAGCACTTGGATATAATAAAAGTATCATAAGACTTCATAATATAGGTTAAAAAATGGATTACGAGAAATATAATACAATTAATTATTTGCTGACATATATTGGATTTGCGATATACAAAGGGTACTATGTAAGCACAGGGTCACGCTAAAAATGTCTGAAATACACATATGCTATACTGATACGGGTCAAAACACACATAAACATACATGTTTATGTGTGTTGTGACCCGTATCCGTATAGCATATGTGTATTTCAGACATTTGTAACGTGACCCTGTGCCCCGGCCTTACGCTACACGTGGTCGCTATCGATGCATGGCATCCCCATCTAAATATCGGGTAACCACTGAAGACCTACATCGTTATTGAAATATATTATATTCTAAGTTCCATAAAGCGGTACACTATACGCATCTTACCTTTTAGTCTTATATGTAGAAGAGAGCCGTGAATGCACCGAACACCTGTCAAGCAGCCATGTTTGGTCGTGGTGGTAGATTGATTGATTGATTGATAGGTTTTACGTCGGCTTCACTACCGCGAGTAGTTCGGTTATCGAGCAGACGAAGAAAAGACAGGAAAATGGATAGAGGGGATAAAGTATGGAGTGAAGAGATAGAAGAGGGAGACAGGTTAGAGAAGGAGCCGTCTATCCTATATTATCCTAGTTAAATGGCACTCGCCACCACTCCTATAATGCGACCTATTTATTTATAAACACCTTCATTTACTTAAATAGTCTGTCTCATTTTGTCTCATTTTATAGTAATATCTGCCTTTTTTTACAGTGTATCAGACTTTTTTAGATTTTTATACTAAATGATATATGTCATTGATTGAATTAAAAAAAAACTTTTATTAGGTCAGAACTATTATTATTCTCAGTCTTAATACAAAATACTCTTTTTTATTTACAAGCTGCAATGTGATTTTAATTATATATTTTATTCTAAATTGTGATATCTTGTAATAACATGCCTATTTTACCTGAATAAATATTATTATTGTTATTATTATTATTTATTGTATAAATATATTTTTGTAAGACGGCTCCTTTGCCTACATGTTTGCCTTAACCTAACATTCGTCGTATCGCATGACCAAGCCTGGATCGGAAGTTTTTGTTTTGTTATCCGTTTATGTAATCCGCTCTTCGCTTTTCGTCACTAAAATAAAGCTGACTGAACTTTACCAATGTCCTCTTACTTATAAACTTTATCTCGTCTTTTAGCTGGTTCTGTTCATCTTTTCGACATTTTATGATTTTATGGTTAAGTGTGATTATCAGTAAGGGTAGAAAGGAGTGAGAGAGGATGAACAATCGTTACGATTTATTATGTGTGTGAGGAGGGCCATAGAAGAAGTGAAGGGAACCATGGATATGTGTTGTTTGAAGGGGGGAGGGGGGGGGGGGGGGGGGG